CTCCCACTACGCTGGGACATACTGTCCCAAGCGGGGGGGGGCGATCTTTCACCCACACCCAGAGCGCTTGGCTCTATGGGCCTGGCCCGTGAGTGGTACAATCTAAATACAGTGTGACATGACGCTGACCCTGGCAGCTGCCAAGCGAGCCAGTGGCACTCATGCACTATCTGTACAGTTTTCATGCACTCAGTTTGCCCCAGGGCAAACAGAGTGTGGTTGAAGCCTAACCCTGCCTTTATCTTAAGGCGGTCGGTTCGGGTACCACATTTGACATTGAGGCATCCTCCCCGCCACTGTATTCCTCCGGGGAACAGCGGCCGGATTTGCCGTGTCCAGCCCGTGCTTCACGCACGTACAGGGACAGATCAAGGGTGCTTTGTCATAATGACCAACCCCTTGTGTCCTGGGCTAACCCTTACAAGGGCAAGCCTGTTACTAAGCAACGGCTCTCCCACTGGTCTGTGGAAGCAATTGCTTTGGGGCTCATACGAGTCAGAGTTCGCAGGCACCCTCGGGTCCGCGAGCTCTTTCGACTCAGGGTCTGGCTGCATTCTGGACTCTGTCCAGGATGTCTCCCATCAAAGACATTGGTGCAGCGGCGAGCTGGTCCTCGCCGCTCACTTTTGTCTGCCTCCTAACAGGCTGGACGTTCTGCTCCCAGTGTGACTCAAGCAGTGCTGGGCACCTGGTTGAGTCAGAGCTCTACCTGTTAAGTTCTGGTTGGTTTGGTGATTTTCGAGATAAGCTCGTCTGGCAATACGGGAGCTACAATTTCCCATAGTGAGACATCGAACGGAGTGTTATGAATGAGAACTATAGGTTACTTACGTAACCCCAGTTCTCAGAGTAACATGAAGTTAGATGTCTCACCAGACGGCCCTCCTTGCTATGGTGAAGCGAGAAGAGGTGCTTATTTTTGAGTGGCGCAAGCTACTTATAGGGGGTGATTTCCCTGACGCTGATGTCAAGATCACCAGCCAATCAGGATTGGCGTAATGAGATTGATGCTTCTGTTTGCTCCGCGATGAGGCGCATCCCATAGTGAGACATCTCACTTCATGTTACTCTGAGAACTGGGGTTACGTAAGTAACCTATAGTTTTCGCATACTGAAGCAGTAGAAAGTGATATAATTATTTGAATGAATCACACTTGTAGAACTGATCTTCCTTTTTAGCACCAAGATTAAGTACTCAAGAAAAAATGTGTTCTTTTACTGGCCTTGAAGAAGTTTTGAGCTATTCATTTAATTAATGTTGGCATATTTGTCATCTGACATGTATAACAAACAGCTCCACCAGGCAAATTGACCTTACAGTATGTTAGAGACCATTTGGTGCATGTCGGCAACATTGAATTTCTTTGCATCAGGAAAAACAAGCAAGAGGATTTTAATTAGCCATAACAATCATGACCTTGGAGGATGAACTATTTGATTAAGAAATAACTTGTCAACATTTTATTGAACAATGTAAATCCGCATTCAATTAATTTTCAATAAAGATGAAACAAGCGAGAAACTCTACCGGAAAAACCTTATTTCCGATTTAAAACATGCAAAACAGAAACGGCCCCATAGTAGGTAAACATCTCCAATGCTAAGAGACACTGTAACACAAGAACTGAAAAAGGAAAAAGAACATATTTTCCTCACAACAATTGAAAACTCTTACAATAATTCAAAAGCAATAACCTGTAGAAACAATACACATACATTACATTAAAGTTCAATGACAAAAAGAAACAGAAACAAGACAGATACAGGGCTAACATAAGGGTGATTAGCCACCATGCTAACACAAACACACACACACACACACACACACACACACACACACACACACTTTACATGTGTAAACAGATAGGACTGGGCAAGAAGTGCAGCAGCCTGTTGCTAGGTTACCTCTTTAGTGATTCTTTCTCATCCTGGATAACAGCTCGTCACTCATACACACAAGTAGTATGTGCACACACACACACACACACACACACACACACACACACACACACACACACACACACACACACACACACACACACACACGTGTTCAGACACAGAAACCTTGTCCGTCTCTGAGAGGACAGAGAGAGCACCTGTCTACTTTATGGGTTTAATCTTAGCAAGAAAGGACGCTGAGTGGAGGAAAAGAGCCATCCTTAGAGAGAACAAACAGAAAAGATGGATGTTGCTCCAATCTATATGAAGCTATAGAAAAGATTGTGGTCACGATGTGTAGAAATGGGTGTGGCATGTTATCTGAGAAAGAATTAAGAACATGGAAGAGAATGAAGGAACTCTTCAGACTTCAACAATCTGCATGCAACTTCAACTGCTAACTGCTCCTTCTTCAACTGCTAACTGCTCCTTCATACTTTCACTCAGAAACCTCATTCCAACTTTAAAATGTTACACATCTTTCCGACATTATTCATGTAACACAACTTTGAAATCTGATTCTTACTTTTAGAGATATTAAACATTGTTCAGACCTTGGTAAAGAGGCCTTCTTCAGATTTTAGAGTGTGTGATGTCACAGAGTGGAGGACAGATTTAATTGTGCCTTCATATTTTCTTTTAAACCTGCCATAATTCCCAAACCCTACATTCCTGAGACATAATTCTGCATGAGAAATGTAGGAAAACATCTCGTAGCTTAAAAAAATAAATAAGATTAAGCAAAATAATTAATCAAAAATGCCTCTTGAGGGCATGAAGTGATACAAACTTACAACATGTCTCCATAAACCCCATTGTAAGTTCAGCCTCATCTTTCCCCACCACAGCAGCCGCACACCTTTAGTTAATCTGCCGAAAAGGCCACATTATTAACCCAAAATTACACAAAAAGTATACTTCAGATGCTCAAGTTTCTTGACATGCTTCATGCTTGGAAATTTCACCGATATCTGTTACGGTTCTTCAACAAAACGTTCACATGTAAGAGGTTTATCTCTCATTCAGAACAATGAAAATGCTCTCCTCTCACTGATTACTGCACATCACCATGGAAACCTTTGATCTCTGGACACGTTGTTAGCTCCAATATAAACACCTGTGTCATGGAACACGATGATGTCATAACTCCAACTGACATGCTCAGAGCAGCAGACTTCAGATAATGGTTAACACAGCTCTACATCAAATCTGATGTTACGTAATGTGGTGTTACTATGGTAACACACTAATACTGTTACTATATCCCTCGCCATAAAACAGCAGCAGACTTCAGATAATGGTGAATGGTCCTGCCCTCAACAGCTCTAGATCAATTATGGGGTGTCATCATATGCCGTTTCCATGCGTATCCCTCGCCATAAAACACGATGTCGCTGTAACTCCAATGGACACGGTCCGATCGCCCCCCAAACTTCGCTTGTATATCACCGGTCCATGCCTCAACAGCTCTACGCCAAATCTGAGATCTCACCATAGGCTGTTGCCATAGAAACGCATCCCTCACCATAAAACACGATGTTGTCGTGATACCTATGCAAATGGTCTAAAACAGCAGCAGACTTCAGATAATGGTGAATGGTCCTGCCCTCAACAGCTCTGTCAATTATGGGGTATCATCATAGGCTGTTTCCATGGAAACGCATGCCTCGCCAAAAAACACGATGTTGTCGTAACTGATATGAAAATGGTCAAAACACCACCAGACTTCAGATGACATCCCTTGCAATAAAACATGATATTGCTATAACTCCTATGAAAATTGTCAAAAAGTGCTAAAACTTCACATGTGTGCTAACAGTCCAGCCGTGAAGCCATCTACGGGACAGTTTTGTGATTTCTTCGAATGCCGTTGCCATGGCAACACAATGCTAGCCATGAGCAGGTCTCCCTTGAAAAAGAGATCAATGATCTCAATGGGATTTATCTGTATAAATAAAGGTTTGAAATGAAATGAAATAAAACACGGTTATCTCATAACTTCAGTGAAAATGCTGCAAACAGCCCAAAACTTCACAGTTTTGGTAACGATGCAGCTATCAACATATGTATTATGCGTATTATGGGGTGTCATCAAATACCGTTGCCATGGCGACAGATCAATCGCCATCAAGTTAGTTCAATAGTTTGCAGTTCAAATATTCTGCTGCTTTTCCAAGCCTTTTTACTTTCTTTTCTTCTCTTATCACACATTCAAGCCCCCAGTGTTCATGTATCATTTCAATCTAAATTCTTCACTTTCTGTATAAATCCACCTAGGTGAACAGCTAAGAGCCAATATGCTAGATTTGCCAAACAAAAATAATTCAAATCATTTCGGAACTTTCAAAATAGTGAGGTTATGAATGGGTAAATAAATTAACCCTCTATGGCATGACTTTTTATTTTGGGAGGAAAAAAATGTTTCACCATGTGTTTTAGGAGCTTAGGGGTCCCTGATATTATATCAATTATAAAATGTGACACAGTGTTGCCCTGAGGCAACGAACAAAAAAACATAGTTTTAGCTAATTAATAAATACATAATAAGTCTTTAAACAATCAAATATACTTCTTTACGTATTCATGCACATGCATGTATTTTTTATTTTAAGTTGTGTACATTTCTAATATGTTAAAAAGTGAAATGTATCTTACCAAGTGGTGGCCCTGAGTCCCCTGCAGTTTTGCTTGCAGAAAGTACTGCTCCACCCCCAGACAAAATGCCACACCTATATCATTCCCTCATTTTATTGGACACCAGCATGTCAGGTGACATTGTGTATATATATATTTTTTTTTTAATATTTAGAGGGCCAGTGTGAGGTCGAAAAAAATGGTTTGTTGCCTGAGGGCAACAGTATGCTGTGTAGAGGGTTAACTTTTGAAAAAAATATATAATGGTCACACAACATTAACATTTTTCATGGCTGTCTGTTTAATCAATGTATGTGCATTGGCTGACTTTAATGGCGTCCATTGAGAGGTTTAGGATTGATTGGTATTTCAGACACACAGATACAACCCTTTTTTCAACTCCCTCTTCTCTCTTTCCTCTTACTCAGCACAAAACTGTTCCTACTTCAAACACTTTACCTCGGGGGAAGAAGCTGAAGTTTTTGAAGTGAAGACACAGAAAGGTGGGTGCCTCCTCACTGTCACTCATACTGAAACTTACAACAGATCTTTTTTTCCCACAAACGTTTGTAGGAAATGTTCAAGGAACCTAAGTTTTTCTTTTCTATATAACTACAATACACTTGAACACCAACTCAGTAAAATGCACACTGATCTTCATATAAGATAAGATAAGATAGAAATATGTTCCAATATCCTCTTATTCTGATCTTCTCATCTTTCCGGCTTAAGAAAGATTGTTATTCTCAAAGTCAATGTATTTCCAGGAAACAAACCCTTTTCAGCTTTTGAAGAACACGCAGCGTGGGGGATACACATCTAGGTACTCATAAATACAGGCAATTACAGATCATTGTCAAGTTTAGACATAAATGAATACAGTGTTTACATGTCTACAGTCTTGTCAGAATCTCAACGCTGACCAGCTTCTGGCTGGAAATGAATTATTTCAATTTGAATGCCGCTAAATTCAAGCATCTATTCATGTGCATTTATTTTGTATGTAGTTGTGCCAAATTGAAAACACCATTTAAGGTATATATAAATACGTTTATTTATTATAATAATACGTTTATTTATTATAGCCCCTTTCACAGAAATAGAATTCACAAAGTGCTTCACAAGAAGGAACAATAGTTAAAATTAAGACCACAGAAACATGAATACAATAACCACATGAGGCAGAAATGTAAGGGTATTAACAGAACACATCACAAACATTTCAAATTGAAAAAAAAGCCAATGTAAAAAGATAGGTCTTCAGTAGTTTTTTTAAAAGCCTCTACATCATCATCATCATCATCAGCTTTATTGAAGAGACTCAAGGTAAACATTTTTTAAAAGACATACAACACTCAAACACTCTACAGAGACTGTAGAGCCTATTATTACCAGCAGGTAGTATACCACAAATAATAAAATACAAGCAATCAAATTGGGGCTTGAAAATGTGTTTATTGAACTGAACATACCGTGCAAAAGCTATCAAGCTTAGGGAAAAACATGCACACGTGAAATGCAAAAGAGATACTCATGCATCACCAAACAGACCAACAGCCCTCAAAGAGACAGGTGACCTGCACTGGAGAGAATGAGTGCATCGGGTTATTTTACACTTGATGCTCCCGTCGGGGTGCTGAAGTGAAACCGGATGCTCTAAGGTTAATTTCTATCACAGTTGGAGTGTTAGATTGAAAGAGAGACTACATAATACATATCTACCAACAGACAGAAGGGGAAGAGAGAGACGTTGTAACCACATTGTGATAAGCATCTTATCTGCAAATGGCATTATTGCCAGTTTGGATAAATGACTGTTGTTTTAAAGGGAGGCTAATTTAGAGGCTAATTATCTGTGTCATAACTCGCCTGAGTGCAACATTGAAAATGATTATGTAAACGAGATTGCAACCTCCCCTTCTGCTCCTTCCCACTCTCTTCTAATTTGTAATAACTACAGCTTCTCTCTTTTCTCCATCCCTCACTTTCACTTCAATCAATCAATCAATGTTTATTTATATAGCCCAATATCACAAATGTTACATTTGTCTCAGTGGACTTTACAGTTTGTACAAAATATCAGTATGACAATATGACACCCTCTGTCCTTAGACCCTCACATCGTACAAGGAAAAACTTCCAAAGAAAACCCACAGTTTAAAGGGAAAAATGGGAGAAACCTCAGGGAGAGCAACAGAGGAGGGATCCCTCTCCCAGGACGGACAGACGTGCAATAGATGCCGTGTGTAAATTGAAAAGATAATACATTTGCAACATAGGTAGTCCAAATGTTTGGAAATGCATGTGTGTATAATAGGAAAATGAATCCACGAGGATATCCATCCAGGACCTATGATCCAGGACCACAGCCACGACTCAAGATCCAGGGCTCGCGATCCAGGACAGAGGAGCGCAGGATCATCCATGACTCCGGATCCCGGCGTATATAGACACCAAAAAGAAAGACATTTGGGGAAGCTGCTTTTCTTTCTGTATCTTCACTCCCTATTTACTGTTTATTTTAAACTTTTTTCATCTTGCTTTGTCTAACCTCAGAGTACAATATATCAGCAGCAGCCATTGCCATCTTCAGTCTGATCTTTATGATCCTGGGCACCATCTGTGTCATCTTCTCTTTCGGGAAGGGACGGGACTACCTGCTCCGGCCTGCTGGGATGTTCTTCGCCTTCGCAGGTGAGACGCTGCAGATAATGTGAATCACAGATCAGGCTCTGTGTGCTACTCTTGTCTTTTGTGTTACAGCTTCAAGTGAGATGTAAAAGTGTCATCAGACCTTTTCATTTTTTCAAGAATATTACTAATTGGAATGAAGCCTGTGAGGTAGCTCAGACAGTCAGCTTGAATACCAATGATACATGTGTAGACGTGAGAAGCCTTACCCTCTCATACCACCAACCAAACTCACTCATGTGGCGCTCTTTCTTGATGTAGCCTTAGGGTGACATTTCAATATACTTGTCATCATATACTTTGATGGATGTTAACCCCCTTTTTGAATCGCTTTTATTCTTACAAACACAACGGACAATCTTGACATTTAAAGGTTGAACACAACTGCCATGCAAGTGAAGCCTCTCCTAAACGACCATGACTCTCTGTTTTGTCCCCGCAGGTCTTTGTATTATCATATCTGTTGAGGTAATGCGCCAGTCTGTCAAACGCATGATTGACAGTGATGAGACCATCTGGATTGAATACTACTACTCCTGGTCCTTCACCTGTGCCTGCGCCTCCTTCACGCTGCTCATCCTCAGCGGGGGTGCCCTGCTCCTCATCTCCATGCCCAACATGCCCCGTAACCCCTGGGAGACCTGCATGGACGCCGAGCCGGACACATTAGATTAGCCACAGGTGATACAATGTCTGAAAGCCTGGGTAAAAAGACGAAAATTACACCTACACCTTGAGCCCTTTAACTGATGTTGTCCTAGTTATTCCCACCTCCCTTGTCCATTGAGCTTAGTTCATGTTAGTAAGATATTATAATCAACTTGGAGAGACTTGTGATAGTTAACCAGCCGCAACAAAAACTATGAATTTCACCTTATCTTTACGGGGTAAAGCAGTGAGAATATGACTTGTTTGGAAACCTCTTCCTTTTTGAGGCGTTCAAGACCAGAGGAATGGTTAAGTAACATCTGAGACTTAAGAGTCATCTGCCGAGCGGAACCAAAACCAAACGTATCTTTTATACAAAGTCCATGTGTGCTTATTAATTGTTTTTGGGCTTTGGTTTAGTGAGTTTATGCCAAACAAACAATGCCATACTGATAGACAATCAAAACTGTAATGTTAAATTGTTTATGGTCAATCAGTACGATTATCTGTCCTTCAAATTAAAGTACAATTATTTTCCAATCTCTGTTAAATACTGAACAATATAATTGTAAAGAACAAAGTATGTCAACAAGCAGACCAGACACGATTAAACCTCAAGACTTAAATGATTCAATACAAAAGACCAGGCAAGTTTAACAAAAGAAAGACTGGTTTGGATTGTACCACACAGATAAAAATGGTGAGCTATTGAACTGAAAGGCTGTCTTTTAAGTGCAGCAGTGGGTCGTTGTAATGGCTTTTTCTCACTTCAGCCTCTTCTTTTCTCAAAGGACTTTCTAAAACCAATCTATACCATTGATTGTCCATAGAGGAACACTTGCCAGATACTCCAGTGTTGATCAGTCGGTTATTTCAGGTCAATGTTCAGGACCTCTGGTGTCTTAACCTCCAATCCACTATTGTCCACAGCGTTTGCTAAACAGCAGGGTTATGCTTTAAATGTTAAGAAAAGTTATCTACATAAAAAAATTAACACATATAAAAAAATGTCATAACATAAATCTTAAAAAAAGGTTTTGGTGGGTTTTAATAAATGTACGTGTTTGTGGCAATTCCATTTTCAATTGCAATTTTTTATTAAATTGTGTGACTTTAATAACAGCATGCTGCTTAAATGTTTACTTGAAATAAAACATATATATGAGTATGAAATGATAATCTTTTCATTTAAGGGTTGCCTTTGATTTGAAAATGGTACCTTAAAGCATTAAGATTTGATCGAGTTGCATATTATATTGGACCTATATTTAACTTAAAGGTGGGGTAGGTAAGTTTGAGAAACCGGCTCGAGATACACTTTGTGTTATATTCCATGGAATGCTCTTAACATCCTGATAACAATGAGTATCTTAAGTGCTTTGACAAAAAATCCATAAAAAAATGTCATCTGTGGAAGCCGTAGTAGGCTACTGTAAAAAGCACGACCAATCATTTTAGCTGGCCCGGCTAAAATAACTGGATGGCCTACCTGCCTGTCAGCCTTCCATCTGTGCACAAACTTATCTTGTGCCCTCATTGGTCATGTGCACGTTCGTGTGTGTTGGAGGAAGGGCTCTGTAGTGGCAGATTTTTTCCGGCTGTGTATTTTCAAATTCTAGCGATCTCCAGCTGGTTTCTCCAAAATGACCTACCCCACCTTTAAGGGCGGCCTCAAGTGTCATGTATAGACAAACCTTTTTTTTATGGTGCTTACAATGTTAAGCTATTCAAATTAAAATACGTAGTCGTAGTTAATTAGTTTGCTGTTATATGCACAGGGATTTAATTTAGGTTAGCTACTTGATTGTAAGAGGATTCATTAGTAACAAGTAAATGAACATCTAGACTGTATTCATATTCATTTGGCTCTGTTTTTTGTAGATTTCCGTATAATTAATTAGTAACAAATCAATTTACGTCTAGCATCTTATTTTGAGTCACTCTAGAGACCTTGAAGTCATTAAGCTGAGGCCTGTACTACGAAGCTGGTTCAACCTAACCTGGATATGTTTGAGTTAGCCGGTTGGCCTAATCCAAAACATACGCGCTCTCGCTAAACTGTACTACAACGCGGGTTATCAAGTGGATGGCTCAAGCCAGCCGTGTCCTATCTAGTTAGGTGCGCGTTCACATGAAAGGGGTGGTATTTGGAGCATTCGACCAATCACAAACGTGGACAAGCGTACTGACAGCGCATACTTCCTGAATGAAAAGTCAACTATAATATTAGACATACGAAGAAGTTAAACTTTAAACATCCATGACTTAAACACTTTATCCAGGCAAGGTGAATACAGCTGGTAAAAGAACAAGTATTTGAATGCCTACATTAACAGGTTTATGATATCACTGCCCCGTCTAAGACATGATCTGACTTTAATTACATTTGACTCGAGTGTTTCGTCAACTTAATGTGTTGCTTAAAATAATACTTCTGCATACAGTATGTGACACTGTGAGTGTTGCACAGCCAGATACGGCTCAAGAAGCTAACTCAGATAAGGAAATATATGATACATTATGATGTGATATGAATGATAATGATACCAGGGGCGTTTCTAGGGGGGCCAGGGGGGCCAGTGCCCCCCTAACAATGAAAAGTTTATTTTTTCTGGTACTCGGTTTGCCAAAAACCGCAGGATTTTGTTGCTGTAATGTGAGATTGTGCAGACACCCTTATGTAAAGTAGAGATGTAACTGTTCATTGCCTTTATTTTTATATAAATATGGTGTTAGTGCAAACATTGCACTATAACTTAAGCTGAAGCTAACAGTAATAACTATAAGATCTATCTGAAATAAATAAGTGTACTGAAACAAATACCAATAACTGTATTGCATTGTTTTCTTATGCGCAATTACTTCATACTGTCTAGTTCTCTTTTTCGTCCTGCATTTATTGTGCCCCCCTCAGAAAATAACTGGCCCCCCAGTGGCCCCCCCAGTCAAATTGGTCTAGAACCGCCACTGAATGGGACACATCGACGTCTGCACTCACAGTGCCGCGGACTGTCTGTAGCCTACTGTTACTTTGATCCGGTTACTTATGTTGTGGCAGATATTTATGTAAGCTTTCTTAACGCTAATGATATAATAGTCAGATTGCTCTGAAGATGGGAGGTGATATTCTATTAATGTTCACGTTCACACAGTCTGTGGTTTTTGCTGGCCGTCTTTCCTGCAACGACAGTTTTTCTGTAGGCCTATTTCCTTTCTCCTGTAATATGACTTGATCGCTTTAAACTCCGCACACTGAGCTCTGATTGGTCAGCAGGCAGTGCTTTCACTGAGTTGATCTCTTAGCCTGCAACCTAACCTGGGGGGTATACTACGAATCTAGTTCAACCTATCCTGGATATGAGTTATCCGGTTAACTTAATCCAAAACAAAGCCGCTCTCGCTAAACTGTCCTACAACGCTGGCTATCAACTCGTTGTTTAAATGTTTAAAGTTGGGGTAGATAAGTTTCAGAAACCGGCTCGAGATACACTTTTTGTTATATTCCATGGAATGCACTTAACATCCCGAGAGCAATGAATATCTTAAGTGCTTTGACAAAAAATCCATAAAAAAATGTCATCTGTGGAAGCCGTAATACTGTAAAAAGCACGACCAATCCGTTTAGCCGGCCCGGCTAAACGGATTGGATTGCCGCCCTGTCTGTCAGCCTTCCATCTCGTGCACGCACAAATGTATCTCGTGCCCTCATTGGGTGTGCCGTAATTGGGCGTTCATGTGTGTTGGAGGAGGTGCTCTGTAAGGAAGTCTGAAGGAAGGGGCGGATTCTTTTCGGCTGTGTACTTTCAAATGTTAGTGCACTCGAGCCGGTTTCTGAAACTTACCTACCCCACCTTTAACTTCTTCATATTTGTCTAATATTATAGTTGACTTTTCATTCAGGAAGTATGACGCTGCGCTGTCAGTACGCTTCTCCATGTTTGTGATTGGTCGAATGCTCCAAATACCACCCCTTTCATGTGAACGCGCAACTAACTAGATAGGACACGGCTGGCTTGAGCGATCCACTTGATAACCCGCGCCGTAGTACAGTTTAGCGTATGTTTTGGATTAGGCCAACCGGCTAACTCAAACATATCCAGGTTAGGTTGAACCAGCTTCGTAGTACAGGCCTCAGAGGTCAATAATCATGATATTATGTGTACATGTTTTTCCACATGGTCTCTATCAATGTGTATTGCTGTGCTTTCTCGTTAGTTCTCTTCTCCTATTACTGTGTACATTATTTTTAAAACATGAAATAAAGCAAGGTATCTTCCTCATGTTAACATTATACTAACAGGTGGAGTCAATGGTTTAGCATTTATTGAGGAAATAAATATGGGATTTGGATTATTTTCTTTGCTGGACATTCAACCATCCTTGAGTCATTGCTCACACACTCACAGTCGCTTTTGTCCAGGATCCTCTAAAGCAGAACACATTGTTGAATTGAGGGTAAATCCTATTGGAAATGCTTCAGAGACCTTACACAGCGCAGGTCATGCAGGTCTTCTCAGGGGCGGATGTAATAGATGCACAAAGCTCCCTAAATGATTCATGAGACCTTTAGCTTCGAGCATCGAGAGCAGAGCACACTATTTACTCTCTGCCGCCTACAACCGTTTTGATATCTGGAACTCCCTCATGGCTTTATTTGATACTGTTTGCTCTCTAACACCTGTTTCCATACTATGTTTATTTTTGTATATTATGCCAATTAAAACATATAAATGTGCTTATGGATCAGACATGTGTCATTTGTTGACCTGTACCCCCAGGCTGCATAAATGTGTTGGTAGATTATATGGAATGTGTGCAGAATGCGTTTACCTGCTAAAGCTAAAGGGTCGCAGATGATTATTTGGTGAAGGTTGAACATAAACACTTTAAATCATGATTTAAAATGTGCAGACAGTCAAATGTGGTTCTTTAAATAGTTTAAATGTGCCTAACAGACCAAAAAAACAATACACATTTGTCAAAACTAAAATTGTTTTTATGTGTTTTCATGTTGAGAAAGTCAAGACAATATCTAACTGGGGAAGAAAACACAACTGTACAAACCATAAAGTAGTTAAAAATATATGTATGATATTAAATAACAACTAATGTGTGAAGTAAATGTGAGATTATGGGATATGACTCTTGTCTTTTTGTCCTCTACTTACCTTAAGTCCCATCTATAACATTTGTGAATAAGTCTTCAGTACAGCTAGAGAAGAAAAATGCCACTGATTTGTCTCACTTTCGTGTTTCTTCATCGATGAAGAAAGCTGATTTAAACAGCAGTCATCCATTCCTTTGAGTCACTGCTATGAATATAAAGCCTTGATTTCCAGCGCTGACCTCTGACTGAGATCTGTCAAAGCTGCTACTATTCTCCACACACAGCAGGACAGCTCCAGCATTTTGCATTCAGCTGCATCCCGCAGAGAGTGCATGAGCTGGCCTCAGAGTTTCAAATCTCTGAGTTTCAATTCTTTAAAGTCGGTAGTAAAAAGATGAAAAATAACATGTAATGATGGGCATGGAGTGATGAGATTAACAGATAGAAACATTAACCGTATAAAAGTACAGATGGACACAAGCCAGCCGTGAAACTGACTGACAGAAGTCAACTAAAACCTCTGAGGCTCGGCCATGCAAGATTAAAATGAAAGGGAAATTGCGAAGACAGTCAACTTTATAGACAAAGTGCTCATAGCGTAAGTGTACTATTTTAGCAAATTAAAGCACAGCCTAAAACTGCAGCTACATTTTAGCTCTTAATGCTGCTATTTTCTCTGGATCCATACCAAAGCCCACGTTTTTGGGGCGGTCGTGGCGAAGTCGATAGGGACTTGACTTGGCAACTGGAAGGTCACCAGTTCAAGTCCCGGCAAGACCAAGAGCTACCGAGGTGTCCCTGAGCAAGGCACCATTCCCTACACTGCCCCCCGATCGCCGTTCAAAATGGCAGCACACTGCTCCTAACACTAGGATGGGTCAAATGCAGAGAAACAATTTCCCCACGAGGGATTAATAAAAGTCCATCTTTTTTTTTTAGTAATTGGTTGAGTGAAATACTTACTTTTGTTTATTTTGTAAGTCAACAAGTGTTGGACATATTTGACCCCTGTTTACTTTCCTTGAATCTTCCTCATCAACATGTCACACAATTCCTGTATGCTTCTATTTTGTCTATAATCTTTACTTCGCATCCTTGATGTCCTCTTCTTCATATATGTTTATTCTACCAACACATCTCAATTTCTTTGTGTCTCTTCATTGCATGGCAGCAAATTGGTCCTCTCTGTCTCTTTCAGTATTCACCATTACTTCATTCCTCTCCTCTGTTTCCTTTCCCTCATTGACGCTTTCCTCGACAAGCAGGCCTTCTTTTTATCAGCGTTTC